GATGAACTGTCCCAACTCCCAGCTGACTAGGAACATGCCCTTCCTCACAGAGCCTCCTCTCTCCCAAGGACAGAGCTCCAGCAGTTCCAGCCCCTCCCATCATCGCGGCTGCTGGGGTTTTTTTGTTTTTGTTTTTGTTTTTTTGCCTCTTCCTGATCATTCTCATTCGGAATACAACTACTTCTTTCCCAATATAAATAAATAAATAAATAAATAAATAATCAGTGCAAGGCCACCTTCTCCTGGCCCTCTGTCTCCATTGAACTAGAACCCCATTTCTTTGTTCCCTTTCGCAGCAAAACTCCGTCAAAGTGTTGTCCAGTTTATCTGCTGCTAGTACCTCTTTTACTTATCTCCGCTGTGCTTTCTTTTTCCCGCTACTCTTTCCAGAGGCAACTACAGTTAACAGATTGGTAAATGTTTCCAGAATTTTTTCTCTGCCGATTAAAAACATACCTCAATATGTTTTAAAAAGTTGTCTCTGGCTGTTGAGATAGCAGATAACTTTGCTCCTTTTTAATGTTTTGGTACTGTCTGAATTTTTAAAAAATAATAAGCCTGTGTTACTTTCATGATCAAAGGAAAAAAAATTGTTTTCATTTTCGATAGAGTCACCATCTTAGCCTTCAGAACACTACAGCTGTGGCTTTTCCTTTAAAATGAAGAGTTGTAAATAAATAAATGCAGAATACATGAACTTGTTTGCTTTTAATAGGGGGAAAAAAACTACTAAAATGCACAGTAGCCTTTATTTCAGATAAACTTTTATTTGGATGACTTTTTATTAGCGTAGCTTCTATATCAATGTTTTTCTGACTAAAAGTAATGGGAGTTTTTCTTTTTTTCCCTTGGGTAGAAGACAGGGAGAAGGATGAATAATGAGTAGAAGTTCTCGGAAGGAACCAAGATGGGATCGCAGGCCTGAAGAGATCCAGAAACTCCTTTCGTTCATGCAAGAGATCCTCCTGCACTCATCTGCTACCCTCACCCCTCAAACACACACACACACACACACACACACACACACACACACACTCACACACACACACTCACACACCCCTTTACCAACACACTGGCGTCCATGTGAACCCCACCTCACCTCCTGGGGCTGAGCCCACCGAGCTCCTCACTTCCAGGTGAAAGGAAGGCAAAAATTTGGGGGAGGTGAAAAATTAGGGAGGAGAACGTAGCAGCAAGTAAGTGAAAAGTGAACGCAAAGAGGCAACTGAATTAATCTACTCTGACAGGAACAGGGGACGCAGCTCTGAATCAGTCACCATCTCCATCCTGCGAGCCCAGGAGTCCCACACTCTGTTCTGTCCTACGGCCAACAGACCCTAGCCAAGTCCAAGGCAAGGCAAAGAGCTGTTGCTTACCGAGCATTGATGTAGCCATTTATTTGAAAGGAGAACTTAACTTTTCGCTGGGGGTGGAGGGGAGCAGCACACTCAGGACTGCTGACGTTCACAGCGCTGCTTCTCCCCACCTTCGCTTTTGCATCTCAAGCTCCAGGAGTCACTTAAAAGCAGGCGATGTATTTTCAAGAAGTAAATCTCTTGGACGAGTACCTTATGTTCACGAGCTGGAGAGGGAAGGTGCTGGGCTGTGTATTGGAGCTCCCAGCCAGGGAAGACAGCTATCTCTTTTGGCACAGGTTCTCAGGGATGAGACCATGTCTAGCGGGGATTTTCTCCAGATTCAACAGCCTTGGCCCTACCATCCCGCACAGCTTTGTTTGCACCATACATCACTCGTCACGAGGCTTTCGTTTTTCCTTTCAAGCATCCACAGGTCAAATACTGTGTGTTCCCAACAGTCTGTGAACTTCTTGGACCAGCAAAGGGATATTCATTTTGCTCAGCGCTCCTTTAACATTTCTATTGTGTTCGATTTCCCACTCCCCCTGCCCACATCCCCAGAGAATAACTTCTTCCTTGTTTTAATAACTTGGACCACAGTCAAGGTTGATGTGTTTCTCCATTTTGCAGGATATTTTCTTCAGGAGAGACAAAACAGAGGCTAAGAGAGTAGCCAAGGCTTGTGAGCAGCCTTAAAAAAATCAGCAGCCATTAAGAACACATAGAAAATCTTTTTCAAGAAATAAAAAGCAGACAACACAAGGCACCATAAACAGAATTATTCATAAATGTGGAGTGACACTAAGAAAGGGCCCCTGGTAATTTTTTCTCTCAGTGACCCACTTTAAAAAGCTAATTTCGTTTGTGGGTGAGGTCAAGGGTCCTAGTTAAAAAAGTGGTTTCCAAAAGTATCTTCTCTTTGACTTAAAATTGAAATACAATATTCTCCCATTTGAAATCATAAAAGTAATTCTGGTCCCAACGGGCATGCAGAGATTAGAAAATGAGTACAGGGAGAGACAAAACAGTGGCAAGTGTCTCCACCCCTCCTCATTCTATCAAGTGTTCTTCTCAGCTTCCTCGCGCTCTCCCTAAAATCCCAGCCCTACCCTTTAGCCTATCACGGCTCCCAGACATCTAATGAAAGATGTCTCCACGCACTTGTTAGGACATGGGGAAACAAGCCTATTTTTTTTTTTAATAAAAGTAACATTCTCAAGGAAAGAAGACGTGAGCAAATATTTGGTGGGGGTTAGTCTGAAGTACATGATATTTTAATAAAAAATTGATAATACCTCATTTTTATGAGCGACATGGGAATTATGTCTTTCTTCTCCAAAACATGAGTCAAGCCTCCAGTTTTCCTGTCATATATCTACCCTGTCACCATGATTTTTCTTACCACTGATTTCAAACTAGTGTCAGGACACTAGTTACAGATTAAAGCAAAAGGTGGGGGGTTTTTCTCTTTATTTTTCTACATGACATAGCTTTTCTGAAATGTATTTTTGGCGTTTTCGCATCGCAGCAAAAGAAAGTAAATTGGGTATAGCAGAGGATAATGTCACCCACCCAGAGTATATCTCCCTCCCAGGGGAAAAGCCAGGCTTTCTACTGGAATAGCAGATTCAGCTGAATCCAGCTCTCGGTTGTTCAGGGGCCTGGAGGAAAGAGCTAAGCAGTTGATCCCTTCAAGAGCTAAAAGGGAGGCAACCTGTGGGCCATCACACACCGGTGGTCTGAAAAATCTATCTGCATCTCACCACCAGCGTTTTAAAAATAACATGGAATAAAGTGGAAAACATCAGTATGCCCAGCATGGAGGAAGGGTAAGTATTGTTTTCTGAAAATTTTGTGTGGGATTTATGTGCACACGCACGTGTGTATATTGGATCTCAGTGTGAAAGGCATTTCTACCATGGTAACAATCTAAAAAGTTTAAGAAGCTCTAATCTGGGGCCCAGAATCCAGAGGCAGACAGAAGGGGGTTCCAACACGGCTCTGCCACTTACTCTCTATGTGAGCTTGGTTAAGTGGCTTAATCTCACCAGCCTCCTCATCTGAAAGACGGACGTGACCGTAAATTTAGGATTGTCAGGAGATCAAAAGAGGAAACATGCAAAGCCACTCACAGAGGGTTCAATAATGTTAACATCCATCCTTGGATAAATGTTCAGTTCACAAAGGGAAGCAGACATTATCTGACTTACAATTTGTTCTGAAAGGACAAATCCAGTGCGAGAGGTTATGTTAGTAAACAAGACAATTGCACACCTGTTTTGCTCTCCAAAGAGTTGCTCTTCTGTAGGACTATTGTGGCTATTTGATCATTTGATACAGCTCTCTGAATGAAGTTAGTATTCTAGAAATACATTTTGATTTCAGAAGTCCTTTCTCAAAATGTAAGCACCAGACCAATGAAAAAAACTCTTTGTTTTTTTCTTATGTGAAACTGAAAAACAAACTGTTCATACTTCGTGTTTCATCTTTATAATATAGCTTCTGACCCTCCAGCAAGTGATTATTATCACATGTCTAAAGACCTTGAAAGCCATCAAAATTCTCTCAACTGTGGAATGACCCAGATTTAAATGGATGCCAAAATTCCTTATCTATAATTTTTGTAATTAAGCAAAAAACAAACCCTATACTCCAACATGAAGAAATTTTTAAAACTGTAACACACACTCTTCACAATCATGTTCTTTCTATTCTTGGCATTTAGTTTGGGGAGAGTTACTGAATTCTCAGTGGAGAAGGGAGAACAAAAAGAAGAGACCCAGAAAGAAAAAGTAGGACCAAGATGCCAAGAAATATAAGACAAGTTGAGAGTAGGTAGAATGCTGAAATTGACAGCATCCTCTTGAATGCAAGTGGGGGAAGAAAAATTTAAATCAACAGGAACCTTCTTATTTTAGGGTCTAGGGAGAGGAAGTGGAGATTTGGATAAAAAAGGAAAACTGGGGACGGGGTAGAGAGAAGGATCTAACAGTAAGTCTTAAAGGATGAAAAACAACTCTGCTGATCATTGAAGGATGATCCGGAAAACAGGACTGAGCCAACACAAGAAAGAAGGATGAGAAGAAGGAGGCTGGTTCTGGTGTTCATGCAGAGAAAATGAAATCAAAAGAAACAGTTACAGAAATGTTCCAGGGTGCAGGCTACAGGGCTGAGGAAGGCACAGGTGTTTGGGAATGAAAAAGTCCTTGCAGGAAGTCTGGCCATAGACTTGGGGTAAAAATTAAGTTCTTCCTTAGAGATTTAAAGGTAAATGGAGAAAATGCAAGTGAAGTATGACTGAAAGATTTGATTGATCTAACAGCAATATGTGTAATGCCACAAATTTAGTAGTTTATAAAACAGTCACAAGGAAATGAGCAGGGTTCCTTGCTCCCTTTTCTCATCCAGGAGTATGGATAAAATTGTTATCCAGGGGTATGTTGATGAGAAATGTCACCATTTTCGTCCACAGCAGGTCCTCGATAAATAAGAAGCAGAAGGAGAGCGATGACTAGATGTTTCCCATCCCAGTGCACCAATGGCTGCCCTGGTTACCCATTGTCAGTCCTAACTCCTGACAATCACCCCCAGGCACCATCAACAAGGCCTATGTCATTTGCCATCAGCGCATTGTCCACTCACTTGCTCTGCCCTTCTGTCCATTTCACTGAGCTGGAGCTCCCAGCAGCAACTCTAGAAGAGAAGAAGAGGTGGGGAATGGGGAATGGAGCATGCATGGCTCTAAAAGCCCCCCCAGAACCCAGAATCCAATGAGAAGCCACCAGCCACTGAATACACAGAAATGTGAAGCCAGCTGTCTCCTGCAGAGTGTTCACCTGAGACCCCAACCCCCGGGAGCTGGAGGGGAGGTGAAAGGCCCCAGAGGGAGGCTGGAAAAGCCTGGGCTTTTGGAATTAGATCTGGGCTTGGAGTCCCAGCTCTACTGCTTCATATGATGTGAACTTGGGAACTTAACTCTCCGAGCTTGATTTACTTCTTTAGAAAGTTTAGAAAACAGGGTGCCAGTAATTGGACCTCATAATGTTATTAGGGAGATTAAAAGAGGTGACCTAAAAGATCACCTGATACATCACAGGAGCTTCCTGAGTGTCACATCTGACTGTTTATCAACCCAGACTTGCTAGAAAATGGAAAGCAATTCCCACCTGCTCTTCTTTGTTCATTTCCAGGTGCTAAGAATTGCCCCTACCTATCTATGTGTGATAGCTGTGTTCTACCTATTGTAGTTGTATATCAAGTGTGAAGAAATCTGTTGGTGCAACCAGGTATGAGAACAGTTGATTCTGAATTGTCCAAATCATTCTCTCTCAAATATAAATTAAGCTCTTGAACTTGATAAACTCAAAGCATTTCCTGATAAGATAATGAAATAGGTAACACCTGTGATATGACTGGCAAAACATAAACATTAAACGAGGCTGAATGGACAACTTTGAAGAACTCTAAAAGAATAAGTAAAGGCCATATTAAGGTTTCCCACTATTCTTAACTCCCTTGTTTCAGATAAAAATATCCCCTATTTATATGCCTGAAAATTTAGTACTTGAACACAACCCACCAACTGGCGGTAGGAGGAAAACATCTTGATTCTACAAAGAGTCTTGCCTATTCTTCTAAAACTGTACTCTTTTCAGAAGTTATGAGCACCTTTAAAATGGTTCAAACAGGTGTTAAGTTACTGTGTAAGGGCAATGGAATAAAGACAACCTTACCCCTTCAATGTGGCTCCTAAGTTCATCTGATTCCAGGTCATGCATTCAAGCTGGGAGGTCATCTGGTATAAATTGTCACTGTTAGAAAAAACATCCAGAGTTAAAAACGCTTAACTAAACAAAAATGAATGTGCAATTGTCTCTTCAGAAAACAACCGAGTTTTAACTTCCCTTCACAGTGAAAGCCTCCACGTTTTCCAGAACGACAGAACACATGAGTCTGAAATAATTTTCATTGCATCCCGCTGATCTCTGCACAGTTAGTCACTTCACACACAGCAGAAAGGACGTGAGGGTAATTTGGATGTCTTTTAAAAACCTTAGTAGAGCAAACACTGAAGTCTCTAAAGAGGTCTTAAACCTTTGAAGGGAAGAGGCTAAAGGTAGTGAAACTCTGAAAGGCAACACAGGCTGGATAACTCAACATTAAAGTTAAAAGCCTGGAGCTGAAAGTAAAAAGGCGGCAGATTAATTATTCGTGAAAAAGCCATTAAGTTGTTTTAATCAAAAGGATAAGTATCATGTGGATCATGAGGGCCTGAAAAGTCAGAGAAATGGGTGATGGATGGTCTCATACTCAAGGATGTGACAAGCAAAAGAAAGAGGGTGATAAACTCTATGCACAGCAAAAGGAATCATTTTCTATAAATTTTATAATCCTGGTACAAGTAAATGGAGCTTTTTTCTAAAAACCCCCCAACCCAGCTCTATAAAGTGGAATGAGGGTAAACAATGGCTGGTCATTTACATTAAGACCCCGAAGGAGAAATACATTATCATGTAAAGCAATCAAAAGTTATTCTCTCCCTTTTACTTTGCACATTCAACTCTCATAAACATTTTTATTACATGTGGTTTTAAACGTTACTCTAAATGCATTATAAAAGAGTTCTCACATTCATTCCCTGAAATAACACCCCTCTCAAAGTAGCCTGCATGTACAACTCTTTGAAACATCTTTTTTACATGTGTTTTCGTTTTTATTAATTAATTTATTTATCTTCTACTTATCTCATTCCTAGACAACTAGCACATAAACCATCAGGCATATTACCAAGCTCTATTAGGAATAAATTCTGTCCTGGACTGAAATGGTTAATTATGAAATTTGAAACCCAAGAGATTAATGGTTTGTTTGGGAGCCCTTGGTCTAAGCACAGTACAGGACATTTTCACTCTACCTTCATGGCAGACGTGAAAAAAAGCGAAGAAGCTTTCGATATCTGATGTGCGATATCAAATTGCAAATTCTGGACAATCTCCATCTTGTCACGGCATTCCTTTGGGTTGCTTCATCCATCCGTCCAAGGCAACACCACAGTTTAATTAAGAGAAGGTTCTGTCAGGCCAACCAAACTGGGAAATTACAGCCACGCAGAATAAATGAATACTGTGCTTTCTCTTGGCGTAGCTTGATAAATCATGGTCAAGTCCATCGGCCTCTCATGTAATCACTCTGAAAGTTATGTGGGACTCCTTAGTGGCGGGTACACAGGATAAGGAGAAAATCAGATTCCAGAAGGGAATTTTACATATGAAATGAGAAGTGACTTCAATCTCAAAGTATGTGTAGTTTCATTAGTCAGTGTATATCTGGACCCCATCATTCATCCCCATGTCTGACTGGCTATTATGCTACTACAATATCCTACATATCAATGAAAAAAAATGATTAGTTTCTCCTGCAGCTTCCCTGGTTTGCAGCAGCGGCCGGTGCTGGTCTGTGCCACTACGTTTCTCAATTCCACGAATTCTTGCTGTAAGGCCAGTGTAATTAATTCCTGAAGGACCCCAATTTTTATTAGAAGTGCCAGCCTGCTGCATTTAACACAGGAGAGTTTCTTGAACTTTCTTTGGGTTGACAGTTCATTAATAAGCAGCCTCCTCCACAATCTCTACTGGTTTTTGTTCTCTTGCGCCTTTTCATCAAGCAATCCATTTATTAATCTTGCCATTAATCTCAGCCAACGGGCATTGTATTCCCCAGGCAGCCCTATATTTTTGTCACTGATTTTTAAAAAATTGTTCACCAACCAAAATCACTCAGCTCCAGTTGACAATTCTCCTAGGCCCTATTGGGATGTGGGATCTTTCTGAAATTATTTCATCCTTGCATAAGACTAAGAAAATCCTAATTTTTAGAGGGCTGAGAAACAAGATGAGTGACATAAGTTTACACATATGGGTTAGTAAGTCCCAAATATCTAACTTTATGATTTAGGAATTTTCTCACAGGTTTAAAAAATAGTCCAATACATTCTTAAGGGTCTCTATAAGGAAGTGCCCCAAAGAGAAAATATTTTTAAGGACATTTTCTCAGCTCCCAAAAAGCAAGCTTTCTTAAATACGAGTTATTCTTGCTGTAGGGTCAGTGTAATTAATTCCTGAAGGACCCCAATACACATAGGTATCTTCCTAGTAGGGGCTTAATAAATACTCTTTACTGCCCTGTCCAATATGGTAGCCACTAGTCACATGTGGCTACTGAGCACTTGAAATATGACTAGTGCCACATGTTGAAATAAGATTTTGACTATACTGGATTAAACAGAATATTTCAAAATTAATTTCGCTGTTTCTTTTTTATGTGGCTACTAGCAAATTTAAAATTACATATATGACTTGTATTATGTTTCTGCTGGACAGCACTATTTCTAGAAGTTTTAGGATCTTGAGCAAATTAAGCAAATCAACTCAGCTCTCTGCACCTCAGTTTTCTCATCTGTCTAATGGGAATATTAATCTCAATCAGTCTAACTTTACAGAGATGTTGTAAAACTCTAATAATGGCTCTTTGAGGGCTATACAGCCATAATATTTTAATTTTTCTAATCAATTTTTGCACAGAACTTATTGGTTCTTCATAACAACTTTATGAGGCAGGTATATTTATGATCCCCATTTATCAAAGGAGGACCGGGGCTCAGAGAGGTGCCTACTTGCTGGCTTGCCTGGTGTCCCGACCCCCATCCTGCGCTGCCATGCCCCCTTGAAGATTTCAGACATCATTTGGCCTCTGAGGCTCATCTTCTTGCTACCATTTAAATAACAGTAATAATAATATGATAATAATACAGACAGGAGTCTGGAAGTGAAAGAAAACATATGCAAGGAAGCATCATAACCGACTTTGTCTCCAGAAAGTTGCAAGATGAAAGATGCCCAACACATCCCCTTGAGCTAACTAAGGACAGTGTGCCAAGACCCCAACAAGAATCCCTTTCTTGGTTTTAGTGGCCCTGATAGCCCAGCTTGTAAACCCTCAGAAGGGGAGAGAAGGAGAAGGTGCGATAGGAAGAAGGACCTTCAGAAAATCCCCAAGCTACTAATAGGTTTCCTGAGACCAACAGAAGGATCAGAGCACAGTTTTCACCACATCCTGCCTTCTGTTGGCCAGGCCGCCTCAGCAGCTCAGTCAGTAGGCTTGGCTGGCACAATCTTTCAACTGGAAGTCCATGACAGCAATGACAATAACTGCTGCTGGGGTGAGGACAAAATGTGAACTTGAACTAAAAATACTGGGCCCAGGCATGCTCAGGCTCTGATCTTTTCGGGCAATCAGTCAACACCCAGCTCCCATCATGAAAACCCACACAGAGAGGCAGCACTGGTCAAAGGATATATGGTGTCTGACAAATAGAGCATCTAATTATTAAATAGCCAGTGAAGGTGTCAACCACCTCATTCCCAGAGGAGATCAGATAAGCAGGCGGTTTGACTCAGAGCAACCACAGTGGTCACGTAGGCATTTCAGCCCCCTGTCTAACTCTGTCCGTTCGGAAGTGAACTCTGAAATCGCAAGCTGCCAAAACATATTCCGAAAGTCATGTTGTCCTTTATATTTTTTTTAAGTAGGTCTTTAAAAAAAAAAAAGCCACTTGTTTCCTATGTAAGAAATGTTTGAAGTTGGAGGCAAGAGAGGAAAGAAACTTCTATAACTGGGATTAATGCAAGCTGGAGTAAAATAAAAGGAAGTCAGCCCTAGCAAAGAGGGGAACTTAAAAGGAAATCAGTAGTAGATCATATAGAGTTTGTTTTGGCCTGGACTGCAGTATTACTGAGTTCCTGACCTCCACACAAAAAGAAAGGAAGAAGAAAACCCTCGGCTATTATCTGGACTAGAACTCCTCCACTCTTCAAATACATGTGTAATTCATTTTCATCTTTAAGAGCATTTACTATATTCAGTAGAACAAGGTAGAAAAGATCTTAGCAACATTGGAATGGAACCGTCGAACGTGGTTGAGACTGGAGTAAACCCCAGCCAGATGGTTGCTAGCTGGCAAAGTAAGATCTCTTCTTTTCAATTACAGTTTACATTCAATATTATTCTATATTAGTTTCAAGTGTACAGCATAGTGGTTAGATAATCATATCCTTTACAAAGTGGTCCCTCCAATATTTCAAGTACCCATCTGGCCCCAGACATAGTTATTACAATATTATTGCCTATATTCCCTGTGCTGTACTTTATATCCCTGTAACTACTCTGTAGCTACCAATTTGTCACTATGTAATTCTTAATTCCCTCACCTATTTCCCCCAGCTCCCCTATCCCCCCACAAAGCAGGATCTTGCTGGAAGAAAAGAGTTTGTCCATGGGACGATTTTTTTTTAGCCAAACAAGAAACAGGCAAATATAACTGGCATTCGTGATCAGAACTCGTGTTTCCAGCATTTGCTCTGCCCGACGGTAACAGATAGGTCTCTGACTTGACCTCTACCTGATAACCAAGGCTCATGTACTACTAAGGCTGCAGCCAGACTTCCACACTGCCCTTTTCCTGTGTTCTTCCCTCTGTGGCGCCTTGGAGGCTGCCTGTTGAGAAATTTCTGCCCAGCAGGCCATGGTGAATAATTATTTTACAGTCAATCTCTTGGTATTGTAGTTTCTCTCAAGCTCTCCAGTTAACCAAAGAAAAACCCACTGGGGATTCAACTTCTATTAATAAACACTCGGTCAGCACAAAAGTTGAAGGAATATTGAAAATAGATTTTCCCCTTCCCTGGAGACAAGCCCAATGCAAGCTTTTGGCTTTGATAACACCATGAGCCAACCACCTTGGAAACCATTCCAG